ACATCAGGGGTTGGAATCTCCCAAGGAGGAAAGTGAAAATATTTGTATTTTGCTACATTTTGAAGGTTCGCGGACGAGAAGTCTTCAGTTTTTATCGACAGTGGTGAGTTATTTTGGCGAAAGGTTCCGTAATAATCTTGCCAGTTCTTTTGAATGAAATGGACGGGATAATCGTAATACAAAGATCTTGCTATAAATATGAGTTGGATCTTCCGTTTCTGCAGGTCAAGGGGTATGACACCACAGTCCACTTCCATAGCCGATATATGAGTGTGAATAACGTCCAGTTGTTTAAGGACTGAGCGACTCGCCGAGTCGTAAATGATACAGCCATAATCAATGACGGATCTTATTAAGGTTTTGTACATAAGTATTAAATTCTTTTTGGACGCTCCCCATCGTGTGCCAGACACACATTTAAGCAGATTGATCCGTTTATACACATTTGTGCGAGACACAGGTGATATGATGCGTCCAATTTAATCTGGAATCAAAGATAACTCCAAGAAATTTGTGGTGAGTGACAGAGACTAGTTGCTGGTTATTAAGACTTAATTTCACAGTGCTTGAAGAACGAGAAAACGGTAGAACTGCAGACTTTAGGGCTGAAACCATAAAGCCCCATTTAAAAAACCAATCGGCTAAATTGTCCAGATTTGTTTGAAGACAGGTCTGAATGTGATTAATATTACGATCAGTTTTCCAGAGGGCTAGATCATCAGCAAAAATACTATAATTCGTACCATTATTAATGAAGGAAGCACTTAGGTCATTAATCATTAGAAGGAATAGAATAGGGCTAATAACACTACCCTGGGGAGTGCCATTTTCCGAGACTCTTTCCCCAGAGACAGCTCCATTGACTCTGACCTTAAAGGTTCGGTTTGAAAGAAAGTATTTAATTCAGTTAAATAGTTGGCCATCAAAACCATAACTATTGAGTTTATATAACAAACCCTCCTTACAGACCATATCGTATGCTCGTTCAATATCCAAGAATACAGACACTGCCTTACCTCTGTTACTCAATGACTTGTTGACATCTTCATGTAACAGTACCAAATGATCAAACGAAGACTTCTTCCAACGGAAACCAGACTGAAACTGGTCGTAAAGGTTATGTTTTTCAAAATACCAATTCAAACGGTATGCAGTCATTCGCTCCATAATTGTACATATAGTAGAAGTAAGAGCAATTGGTCGATACGATGTAACCAAACTGGGATCCTTGTCTGACTTAGGGATTGGACAAACTATGGCGTGTTTCCAGGCTGAAGGGAGGGTACCTTCATTTCCCACTTTATTGAAAAATTCCAGCAGTTTTACCAAAAAGCTGAGCGACAGATTTTTATAGATTTTATAAGGAATCTGATCGTCACTAGGGGCCGAGTTTTTAGTCGTCTTTATTGCTCGGTTAAGTTCATCGATCGTGAATTGAGCGTTCAACCCATTACTATTGTTTGGCTTCTTTGTAAAGGTGGCATAGTGTTCATGTTCAAACAATTTTCTATGCGTTAAAAGTTCGGGAGAATGATTATCGGAACTGCTGACGTGGGCAAATTGATCAGATAGCACATTTGCCTTTTCAACATCCGTCAAATATGTTGATCCAAGAGATTTAAAGGTAGGAATACAGATAGAACCCCCACCTTTCATTCGCTTTACGAATTTCCATAGTTTACTTAAATTTGAAGAACGGTTGAAACTAGAGCAGTAATTACGCCAGAAACGTTGTTGGCGTTTTCAAATTGTACGTTGACAAATGA